TAGAGTAAGCTCTAAGAATATTCACAATGGAAATATTTCCTCTCCTCTAAAAGAACCCCACAGAGGTCTTTCTAGAACCTTCAATGTCAGAATGTGCTTGGGTTTTTTAGAGGTAAATTCCCTAACATTGTAGGAAGCTCCTGGGAACGTATTCCCCACCAATTTCTTTCTCTGAAGCTAGTCTACACTCAGCCCTGAGTGATTCAAAAAAAAACCACCACGTAAGTGTTTGTAAGACACTGAAGGCCGCAGAGGCTCTTTCTCAAAGCCGTAAGCTCTCAAGTATACCTCATTAATGCCCTTACCTCTCCAAATTGCCTGGAGGAGATTTACTCTGTGAATTCAGTTTCTCTAAGTCCAAGAAAAGTCTGACTTCAATTTGTCTGGGTCTTTCTTGTAAATTTGGGAGTGACGACTCCCAGGGTCTTTGTTTACCAAGACAAAACTAGGAAGTCCTCATTCAAGCATTAAAATTAAGGCAAAAAATCCACTAGGATTGTTTTGTGGGTTTGTTTCTCTGTTGTTGTTGTTTTTTATTTTGCTGGGGTATTTTGTTGTTGTTATTCTTCCTTTTTTCCTTACATTACAATCCCCCTCTGTGGTGAAATGATTGAGTGTATTAGTGTGTTATGATTCCTTCCTTGTAATTTTTGGTTTGTCTAGTGCATATTTTTGCCATTAAGCTTCCAGAAAAACATCTTTTGATTATGAAACTATTTTTGAAATGCTAGCAACTTACCATGACCCTATAAGAAGAGGCACAAACAAATGAACAAGAGAAAATATACTATAAAAAAAATGCAGTCTTCACCATCTCACATTCTGAATTTCAGATTTCCTGATTGCCTATCTCATCCCTTAGGGTGTAGTTATTGTTTCAGAATTTTTTAGCTTAAAAGTCCTTATACTAGAAATCTGAGTGGCTTACTCACCACATATACTGTGTTAGAACATCTTGGAGTAGTTTGTTTAATTGCTTTTACTGGTGAGTTTTACAGCATCCCGTCTTTTCTTCTTGCTCCTGAAATGGTTTTCTTTTAGTTGGGAGGATCTCTTTTAGCTTTTCTTTATATGGCAATATATCTGCTTCTTCATCTCTAAATAGCAGCTTTGCCTGGTATTCAGTCACACTGACTGTTTTTCCTTCTGTATTGTGAAACTCTCGTGCTGGACTTTTACAGCGATCTGAGAAAAACAAGAGGCCTCAAGCCCACTCCAAGCCAGGAAATAATGGTAGCTAAACCGTCAGTGTGTCTCAACGGCCTGGTGCCATTGTCAATTCTAAATTCTCTGATGGTACTGGCCTATGTACCAGACTTGCAGTTCCTACCAAGTCCTGGGTCTTAACTGCAGCAAGTTTGGCATTGAGTTTCAAGACAAAGAAAGCCCTGTTCCCTTTCATGCTCTGCTCCACCAACATGTAGAGAGAGCATTGCTGCCTACTCTACTGCTATCAGTTGAGCCACGAGGGTCAAGGGCAGTTAGCAGCCTGGTCTAATGCAGTTCTAGCAGCTGAGTCTGAGAGAATGAGCCTGGCATTGGAGTGTGTAAAGCTTTGCTCAGCACTGGGTCTCATGTTAGAAAGCCTAGTAATGGACTTCAAATAGAAGGCCTGCATTCCCTCTTCCTCCCCAAAATGGGCTGCTTAAAACTGGAGGAGGCATGAGGTAGACAACTCTTTCCTCTCAGCCTTCTTCATTGTCTTTTTGGTTTTTTTTTTTTTTTTATAGTAAAAGCAAGTTCTACTGTAGTCCTTGTAGTTTCCTTAGCCTTTGTGAAGACAGCTTGAGTGTGAAGAACTGTTTATATATATATATATATATATATATATATATATATATATATATATATATATATATATAAAATCACTAACAGATCCCACTTGGCCAGTATCTTGCTCTTCGTCCTCCATAGAGGACACATTTAGAACACTGACTATGTGCCAGGTAACAATGAGACGTTAGCAACTTTAAAATGTCTTCCTCAGTGATTCATGGCTCAAAGAGAATATCATAATAAGAACAATGATATATTTAGAGATAAATGGCAATATAAGTGTCTTAGTTAGAGTTTTATTTCTGTGAAGAGACACCATGACCACTGCAACACTTATAAAGGAAAACATTTATCTGGGGTGGATTACAGTTCCAAGGTTTAGTCCATTATCGCCATGGCAGGATACATGGTGGCATGCAGGCTGACATGGTGCTGGAGAAGGAGCTGAGAGTTCTACATCTTGATCCACAGGCAGCAGAAGGAGACTGTGTGCCACACTGGGCATGGCTTGAGCATATGAAACCTCAAAGCCTGCCTCCATAGTGACACACTTCCTCCAACAAGGCCACACACCTCCTATTAGTGCCATTCCCTATGGGCAAGCACTGAAACACATGAGTCTGTGGGAGCCATTCCTATTCAAAACACCACAGTAAGCATAGTACACCAAGCTTGTGGAATACCACAAATTGCACTTTTGAACAATTTTGCATAGCTTTAAATTCAGGGTTGTTTGCTTTCTTGTTTTTTGAGTTTTTTTTTTTTTAAAGGGGGATGTTTTTGCTTTTGTTTTTGAGAAAAGAGCCCTACCTGGCCTCAAACTCACAGAGATCCACTTGCCTCTGCCTTTCGAGTGCTGGGATAAAGTTGGACACCAACTGTAAAATAAAAACTGTAAATGGAGTTTTTAAAATATAAACATTTAAAAATCAGTAAGTCAGTTGTCCCATAAATACTATATACAAATTTTAAAAGTTGAGTAGAATAATAAAGAAGTAAAGAGTCAAAGATATAATTAAAGATAAGGAAATAACGCAAAATACCAGTATTACCAGAGCATCCAGTTTCCATTATTTAAATGGAAAATTTTGATAAAACTAGTGAGGTAGAGCAAGTGAGAAGGTGAATAAATGACAATATTTGCACACAAAAGTAGCGGTATTAGTTACTTTCCTGTTGCTGTGACAAAATACCATGACCACGGCAACATACAAAAGAAAGAGTTCAAAGGGGCTTACAGAGCCAGAGGGTTAGAATCTAGGATGGTGGAATGAAAGCATGTCAGCAGGCAGCTGAAAGCACACATCATTACCTGCTAGTGGGAGACAGAAAGGGAAATCTGGCAATGACACAATCTTTTGGAACCTCAAGCCCGCCCCAGTGACGTACCTCCTCCAACAAGGATACACCCCCTACCCTTCCTAAACAGTTCCATAACTGAGGACCAAATATTCAATCACATACATCTACGTGGGCCACTCTCTTTCAAGCCACTACAATAGCACACAATTAAAATGGAGGACTTGGGTGTTTTGTTTTGTTTTGAGCCTGGGTCTCATGTATGCCACCCTGGACTTGAACTTGCTCCATAGCCAAAGGTGACCTAAAATGTGTGATCGTCCTACCTCTACCTCAAATACTGGAATTCCAGGTGATGAAGACCACGTCTGACTTCATGTTATTAGGAGTATAACCCAGGGCTTCACACAGACTAGCAAGCACTCTACCAACCAAGCTATTTCCCAGAGAAAGAATACTATGAAAAAGTCATGAGTGACCTTGTATCAATAAATTTGTTTGAAATAATATAGAAAATAAACAGAACACTGTGGTGTTCTTTCAAAAGAAATGAAAAACCTTAAATAATAAATTAAAATTATCACTAAAATAATTAAAACATAGCCCATAGGTTTTTTCAATACAGTTGCGTGCATGCATATATACAGAATATTGATTATATTCATTTCCCACACCTACTTTACTCTGTTTCCCCTTTCTTTCCCTCTAACCCCCCCCCCCCCCACTTTTTCTTCTCAATTAGTTTCACAATGGCTACACCATTAAAGAAAATGATACATAAACCCCTCCTCCAGAAGCCATTAACAGTTAATAGGCCCTCAGGAGAGAATGGGGTCTCCAGCCCACAGGGCATGTTTTGTTTGTTGTTTCCAACATAATATTTTTATTGATTATTTGGTAATTTCACATCATGCACCCCAACCTCACTCATTTTCCAGTCCTCCCAGGTCTGTCCCCCTATCCTTTTGACCTCCCCCCCAAAAAAAAGATGAAGAAGAAGTAAAAATCCAATTTGTGTTGCCCATATACTTACTCACTGGGGCATAGTCAAATTCCCAGTGGCCAGCTCCTTAAAGATAACTGAGTCCCTCCCCACCTGCACCCCCTGCCAGAAGTCAATGGTGGAGAGCTACACTTCAGCATGCTGGTCACAATTTTTAAAACAGAAAATTTTACAAAAGTTTCACTCATTAAAAGGTTAGGTGCTTAAGTGCATAATATATATGGTTTCTGCTCTGAACAGCTATTCTACCACATGTTCACATCCTATCCCGCTCCTCCCGTGCCCAGGCATGAATTCCCTCCCACTGAGCAGGCGGTAAGCAACTCCTTAGACTTTGGAGTTAGATATTATTGTACTTAAACTAACAAACCCTGGACTTTACACTGTTTCTAACCCCAGAGGACACTCTAGGCTCCTTCTTCGCTCTATTCGGATTCAGAGACATGTTACTATGTTACTGTCCCTCACCTTCCAAAGACCGTGGACAACCTCACAACCAGCATCAAAATCAGTCTTCAGTACCAATAACCCTGGTTCCAATGGGTGGTAGCAGTGGTTAGCTCAGAGGTGCTGGGGTCAGATTTTAAAAGACCAGTATACGAATGTATAAAAATAATAATAATAATAATAATAATAAAGGGAGAATAAAATTTTATCTCATCTGAAGGAGACAATGTGCTAAATGGAAGATTTTCAAACACACAGTTGCAGTCTCAGTGTGCACAACCCACAGTCAAAGAAAGACAGGCATGAATGTTGTAGTGAAACCCCGCTGTAGTGAAACCCCGCTGATCAACTTCTAGAGGTGGGTGGATGGGCAGCTAGATTACTTTGCTAAGAACGTAGCCAGGCACGGGTTGGAAAACAATCTTTATTGCATACGATTATGTGTTGGACTGAGTGTTGCAATTTTCGTTTCCCTTTACACAAGTGGCGTTCTGTCTGCTTCCGCTGCTGTCTGGATGGTCCTTTCTTCTTCCTGGGGTGGAGAAAAGAAGAAATACAGCAGAACAAGAGGAGATGAGAAGTGCCATGACTACTGCTAGCAGATTACCCTTTCCTTGTATCTGAACTCCACAGTCGCGTGCATACCACAGGGAGTTCATGCCCAGCTCCACTGCAGCGGGAAGTTCTAGAACATGCCCAGGTTTCCTGAGACCTCACTTCCACCTGGCTCCTTTTCCTCTCTTTACGTTTCCATTTTCCCCACAGGGCTAATGGGTCAATGGGCCAATGAACTCTCAGCTGGGACTGAAGAGTTTAAGACCCAAACCTCTCATCCTGCTGGGTGGGTCCCCATCCTCTCTCCAGGCCGTTCCTGTTCCCTGAGGCTGTGCTGAGCTATCTGCCCAGAGGGACAACACTATTTCCTCTTAAAGTAGAGGGCAATCGTGTAGGAACAGAGGAAGTTCCCAGGCAAAACTCTCCAGTTTCTCACTTGTTAAAGGTCAGTTTCCCTAAGGGAACTGGGTGTGCCTCCAAACAGCCCAGCACAGCCCTGCCCTCTGTTCTGTGAGATTTCTATTCCTGTGGGCCTTACCTCTCCCAAGAGAAGGCCACCCCATCTTCCAGGATCCTCTAACCCAGGAATCTCAGTTGGTGCGTGGAAACCAAAATAAGTACGCTTCTTAATGAGGCAAGGGGCTCTGTCGGCCCTTAGAAATGATCTGAACTTCCTGCAGGAGCTGAAAAGCCCAGGACAAATCCCAATTTACAGTAATGTAAGATTCCTGAGCAAGAAGCAGAGGGCCTGGTTACCCTTCCATCATTCCCAGAGCTGACAAACACCCCTCTCTTCCTGATGGAGGTGCCAGTCTGCATTGGAGGCACAGATTGCTCAGCAGACCCAGCCCTTGCTCACTTCTGTCCTTTGGAGAATCAAACATACAGCCTGGACACTGGCTCCAGGGTTTCTTCGCCCCGTCTTCCTCTGTGGACTGCTGCTCTTCCGACGTCTTTTCCTTGCTTCTCTCTTTCTCCTCCGCGTTGTCTTCTTCCTCCTCCTGGATGCTCTCTGATTCCGCGTTGCCGATCAGCTGCGCCATGGTGAGGTGGAAGACGTGGCAGCTGAAGCCTTCCCTGATCCCAAACTGCACGTGCTCTTGGAGGTTCTCCATGGTGGTGAAGACTCTGCAACAGGCCATGCACCTTAAGCCAGTCTCCATGGTCACCAGCCAGTCAGGAGTCTTGGCCCTGGGTCTCTCTTCCACCGTGGGTGACGCTGGTGGGCTGTCTGACTCTGGCTTTTCCTCATGTTCTTTCTCTTCCCCACTGGGTTCACTGTCCGACAGGAGGTTTCTGGTGGACACATCGGAGGGTGGAGCGCCTACCCACACACCCTCGGGAAGGGTGGCTTCTTCCATCCTTGGCTGCTTCTCTGGGGACTCTGAGGTTTCCTTCGTTTCCCAGGAGATGGCCACACCCTTTTTCATTTTCACCTTCATGTAGTATATTTTCATCCCCTTTCCCTTTTTGTTTGTACACAGAGAGGACACACACGTCTTGTAGGATGGACAGGATGAGGAGGCGTGCTGTGAGGGGTTGTTCGTCGCCACTCCTTCGGGAACCTGGTCTCGGGATGATCTAGGCTTGGAACTGTCTTGTTGGAGTTTCCGGGTTCCTGGTCATTGAAATTAGAAATAGAAGAGCATCTTCAGAGAGAGAGCTGAGGAAATGTGGCCGAGGAAACGTGAGTGAGAGTGTGACACAGGAGAAGAGGCCTTGGGGTGATGTGATTGAAGGATGAGCTTGGTATTTACTGTTTACTTTATTGGGCGGTGTATATGCTGTGGTTTTATTATGTATGGGGATATTAGCAGATGGCGTGTACTTAGGAATGTGGAGTGTGGTAGTGAGGAGTGAAGAGTGTACGAAGTGGAGGCAAAGTGTATATGCAGTAAAGATGGGAGCCTGTGACCTCATCGCTGTGGGATGTGGGCTATCGTGTTCAAGGACAGCATCGTGGGTCATACATTTTCATGTTGTATATGTCCGGAGAATTACAAATCTGTGTGGAGTATGCCTATGTGTGAAGTCTTTGAGTCTGTGCTTAGTCCCACTGCCCTAACATCTGTGCTGAGCAACAATGCAGAGCTCTAAATGAGAATCCAAAGGCAGAAACCACACAGTTCTTCTAAAGGTACTTATCTGGTTCCTTAGCCTGCTGCCCTAAGCCGAGACCCTTCTATCCACTGTTTCATGACTTCTCGCCATGATGAAGCCGTGGCTTGGGATCTCCCACACCAAACTCCAACTCCCTTAGTAGCTCTGAAGTCTATCTAGGCTCCTCTACAGAGCCCCAAGCACCCCCAACTTCCCTGGGCTTCCTCTCAGCCTTATCCCTTAATCTACATGCCTTCTGCACTGCACCCTGAGCCCCATACCCAAAGAGTTTCACCCAAGAAGCCCCATGCCCAAAGCATGTCACACCCAAGGAGCCTCGCACCCTTACTACGATGGATGAGCTTGTGTGGAGAAGAAACACAGGAGAAGTATTCTGAGGCAGAGGAGACCTCCCCTACCCCTGGGCTTTGGGCTTTGGCCACTCCAGTAGATTCAGGCTGAGAGATATCCTCTTGTGACTTTGAAATTCCTGAGAGAGATATAAGAGACACAAAGATATGGCGGTTGGCCATGTTTGTACATCATTTACCCATCCAGCAAATACTTACTGGTGTCTGACAGAATTAGCAATTACGGCCAGTACACATGGCTTGGAATCTGGCCCTAATGGATATTCTAGTACTTAATCACAGCCACAAGTTATTTTATTAGTGTCTTCACTAAAAATGTAAGAGAAGGGGCTGGAGAGATGGTTCAGTGGTTGAGAGTACTGGCTACTCTGGCAGAGGACCTGGGTTTGATTCCCAGCACCCACATCTTAGCTCACAACTATCTGTAACTCCAGCCCCAGAGGATTCAATGCCCTCTTCAGGCCTCTGTAGGCATCATGCATGCTCATGATGCATAGATATACATGCAGTAAAAAAAAATACACATAAAAATAAATAAAATTTTAAAAATAAATAAGAGTGTAACAGTGATGTATATAAGGCAGCCTTTAATAATTGTGAGATCAATGTGGTAAAAACAGTAGAAATATGGTCTCTATCTAGAGAATCAGCAGTTAGGAAATATGTAAGCTTTCCTATGTGGCCCATATCTGTTAAGTGGGTTTCATTCACTGAAGCAATATTTAATAAATAGCTATTATATATGAGGCAGTTTTCTAGGCTCTGAGAATACTGAGCCTAAGTCCATCTTCAAACCAAACTTTCCATTTTAGTCTTGAAAGGTAAGAACTGGGCAGAAATAAGTAAATATATATTAGATCAGCTTAAGGGTTACCAGATGCAATAAACAAAAATGTCTCATATCCAGTTAAGTTAGAATTTCAAGTAAGTCACACATTTTTTTGAGTAAATATGTCCTATACAGTGTTTAATACACATTCATACTAAATGATCATTTGCAACTTATTTGAAATTCAAATTTAAGTATAGTTTATATTTTATTTGGCAACCTAACAAGGTACAGATGATTCTGTGTTTTATTGTGGTTTGTACAAAGCAGGCCTGGTATTATTACATGTATAGTTTTCCTCAGATGTGACATATAATAACATGTGACTGATCCTTACATGATATTTAAGAATATCTTAGAGTATTTATGTTTGTGTGGGTCTGTCTGTCTCTGCCTCTCTCTCTCTCTCTCTCTCTCTCTCTCCCTCCCTCCCTCCCTCCCTCCCTCCCTCTCTCCCTCTCATGCATGCACACACTCACAGTAGAACTTAGTGTGTGTAGAGAAGACTGTCATGTATGCATGGGCTGTGTGTACCTGTGGTAAAGAGATGGTGTGTTTATATAGCTACATGGTCTCAAAGTATGGAGGTATGGGACATCTTTCTGTATCAGAGTTCATATGGGAAATGTGTGGCTGTCTCATGGAAGACCCTTACAAGAGCTTTGTATATATTATCGCATATACTGAGTGTCAGCCAGGTCCAGACAAGAATACAATAACTTTACCTTACATGCTTTACAGTTAGTGATACTCTCTCATCCAAACACCTACTATTTCTCCTCCCAATAAGGATAGCTGGGCAAAACATTCTAAAATATGCGGCTAAGTGGGGGAACCAAAAACCTCTTCACTTTCCTTCACTTTCCTGTAACTGCCAGTGAAAATTTGACAGTGCTTTGAACCACTGTTCTCTGGACGCAGCCCACAGTTTTCAGGTCCCAGGGCCCATGGCAGCTGATGGGCTCTACTTTGAGCAAAAGCCTCCATCTGAGCATCTAGGCTGGCCACTATTCTGCCTCACTTCCTACACCATTTAAATTCCTGGTGCCCAAGTAGGTCAAAAGAGGGCACTGATCCCCTGGACCTGGAGTTACCAATGGTAGTGAGCCACTGTGTGGGTTATGGGAATGGATCCCAGGTTTTCTTGCAAGAGCAGTAAGTCTTCTTAACCACTGAGCCATCTCTCCAGACCACAGGTCATGTTTTCACAGGTAGTAATTGCAGTTATCATGCATCTTAGGAAACAAGCCAGCAATTACTAATGTCCTCTGCTTTCTCTAGAGTCCTGGTGAGTTTCACCCCATCTGTTATGACTGTGGTCTCTGATCAGATCCTTCCCTTTTTTTTTTCTTTTTTTCATTTCCTCTGGAAAGTCTAAAACCTGTACATCCACAAACTCTAATGGACCACTTATAAATTCTTTCTACTCAAGGAATAAAATCTTCATGGTCTCAATATGACATCAACCCTAGACAAATTCTTAACCTTTTGAATAAGCATTTTATTTCTCAAAATACATCTCAGGCCCTTTTACTCATTAGGCTACTTTTTACTCTTTCCTAAAAGACTCAATGAAACTCACTCTTTTAGCAACCCCCATCACATCTCCAACCCATGGTTCCAAGGGGGAAAACAAAAAAGAGTAAGAGCTATACACTCAGAAAGGGATCTCTGAAAATCTGTACCTCTGAGTCATATAGCTGGGACCTCAGCTAGCTTGGAGTCCATAGCTCCAAATGCCAGTGCCTGGGAAATGCCAATGCCAAGAGGGAAGTTCATAAAAGAGCACAACCGACTATCTTTCTGCCATGGGCATCTGGACTCTCCGCACTGTCTCCCGCCACTGAAACCCTGGAGACAGATCTGGCAGCATCAGCAGATCTCTGCTTCTCTACTTCACCTAAATCCTCCGCAATCACTTCTGGTCAGCTCAAGCTGACCAGCATCCCTTGTACCCTCAGACAAGCTGCCCAGCACATACCTCTTGCCTCCTCATCACCTTCCTGGGACTCTTCAATTTCCAGATGTTTCCTCTTTTGTCGTCGTTTCATAGTGTCAGCCAAACTAGTCCCTTGAAGGATACTTAAATTCCGGTTTCACCGTTTCCCTACAGGTTGGCTGGCCCTTTCTGACCTTCAGGAAATCCGTTGAGATTAGTGGACACAAATTAAAAAATAATCAAGTATCTTAACTGGCCGAAGAACTCAGGTCACTTAATCAAACAGCAGCCCTGTCCAGTGTTCACTACGCTGCATGGCTGTTAAGGGTCAAAGGTCACAGGCCTACTGGAGGATTCTCAATGATGACATCAGAGCATTCTATGGACCTCAGTCTAACATAGCCTCTGCAGCTTCAGAAACCCTCTTTGCAAGAATAATTCCTTTTCCCCAATGGAATCTCTCTAAGGAATTCAACTCTCGTCTCTCAATTGTGGCAGAATATTTTTAGATGTTAAAACATGTTTCTATTTCATTTTTTTCCTCTTCTCCTGTTATTTCACCCTTTCATTTCTGTCCTTAAGCAGGTAGCAGGCTTTGTGTTCATTGTTCATTTCTCAGAGCAGAGATATTGGCAGGGCTGAAATTGTTGATAAATTGTCCCTAGAGCCCCAAACTTTGCAGAAAACAAAATATTGGACCAGAAATATACCATAGGCAGAATTATTTTAGATTCACTTTCTTCTTATTCTACTGAAGGTGTGAAAAGGACCAATTAGGTCAAAGCTTTATGTAAACCATGGAAAAGAAGGGCCTTGATGTATAGCTTAGGACATAGATACAAAGAATGCCAAAAGGAGACTGCTGTGTTGTTCAAATAAGAGAACCATGCCAACCTGTCCTATTTAAAGTACAGGAGCCATGGCAATCAGGTACTCTTACTCTGGTGGGCACTCAAAGCTACAGTCCTGCATGATTTCCAAAGAGAAATGGGTGGAAATACACACAAAGCATGAACAGGACCAAAGCTTGAAGTGACAGTTAAGTGAAAATGTGAGGGGAAAAACGGCATGCAGTTTCTTGCACACAAGCTAGACATTCCCCAGGGGTAAAGCAGAAAGACTACTCCTGTATCTAACACCCACCAAGTGAAGCCACTCCCAGTTGACTTTTAGGGAGCAGCCTTGGGAACATGTGGGCACACTGTGGACTGAAGAGCAGTCCTAGATACAAGGCAGATCTAGTGAGATTACAACTTGTCCTCAAAATCAGACTATTTGTTGGTTGGAAGTAATCACAGAGTGATTTTTGCCTTGTTCTGGAGAATATAGTCTGATATAGTTATGAGACTAATTATCTGCTACTGAGAGCAAGAATGGCAAGGCTAAGATATATGAGGGGGAAAAAACACAGAGAAAGTTCTGGATAATGTGACTTGGAGCAAGATATGTCTGTACCACGTGGCACTAGTTTTCCTTCAAGTACCAAACATGATGTCAAAGAGCAAAATTAGCATTGAGGAGCCATTTTACTTTATCTGTCACCTTTAAGACAATGATGGCTTCTCCTTCTGCTCGACCTCACTCTGACTTCCTCTACCAATTTCTCCACGTGATCTTTGAAGAATCTGGAGAAAGCATCTCCCAGGCATCCATATGCTACTCAGAGTCAGAGTATCAAACCTAGAAATATGCTTGTTACTACAAACACTTGTCATTTTGGGTCGAGAAGTGAGAGAAGAGGAACGTGTAGAAAGGACAGGAAAAAGACATCACTCTTGATGTAAGTTATTCAAATGTTATGACAAGAATATACCAACGTGTAATTTGTGTGCAAATGTACACATATTAAAACCAGACCAGATATCCTTCCACACCCAGGAAATCAGCATCATCAAAAATGAAAAAGAAGACACCACATAACCTATAGACATTTTTTTAAAAAAAGTTAAGACAACAAATTCTCTATATATAAATTTGATAACCTGGATGAAATAGACCAATTTCTCAGAAAACACAATCAATTGCAACTCATACAACATAAAATAAATTGCACAACTCTGTAACTATAAAGGAAGTCAAATGTATGGTTGCTAAACTTTCAAAAGAAATATCCATGATCACATGATTCCACCAGAGAATTCTAGAGGTAATGGAAAAGGGGCCTAAGTCCCTGGGAAAATACCATCAGAAGGGAACCAGGTAGTTTTCATAATGATGGTAGCTGTCAGAAGAGGGATAGGCCAGACACCAGGTTCTATGCTTCCTGGTCGAGATGCCATTTTTGTTCTCCCTTGCACTACACTGTGATAGGGCTGTCTCTTATTAGGCCTTCAAGGGAGGTTGAACCTAATCAACAGGCAAGACCCCCAATCCTAGACTTTGGATCACTAGACTGTGGAGGAAAGAAACTTTATAAAAGGCTTGGTCATACATTGTGTTGTACTAACAAAAACTGGCTACCACTCATTGCCACTGGTACAACAAAATCATTTGAAAATACCTATTGTGGTTTTTTTTTTTAGTCTCATACAAATATGAGCAGAAGGAAACTTCCAAGCTCAATAAAGAGATCGATATAAAATCTACTGCTAAGATTATAATAGACTTAATAATAAACTACTGAATATTTTCTCCCGTAAGAATGCAACACAGTAAATTTGTCTGCATTCACTGCTTTTGATAATGATTTTCTTAGGATAAAGATGAAGGGTATGGCCAGTCAAATAAGGCATGAACAAAGAAAATCTACGCAGACGAGATGAGGGAAATAAAACGGTTCCCATTTGCAGCTAATATCATTGGATTAAAAAAAACTGTAGGAAAATAAGACATGCTAAGAAAAGATAAGCAGTGCAGAGGGAATGAGAGGAGGAGGAAGAAAGGGAGCTGTGGAGGAAGAGGGAACTCCTAAACATAATTAAGTGAATTAATTAGGATCACGGGATAGAAGATAAACTTACCACTATCGCCTGTCAGCATCCCTGGGGAACTGGTTCTTAGACTTCCTGCAAATTAAAATATGTACAAATGCTCAAGACTCTCCAATAAAAGGATGTCAAATGTCCACAATATACACAACCTCCTGTAGTGTTCTCTAGACACCTTATAATACACAATATGCCGTGTGTTATAATACACACTGTTAATGAGGTGGAAATTATGACAAGCAAAAGTCATCATCTGTACATGTTCAGAACCGACAATCCATCACTAGGATCCCAGAAGTATAGAGGCTGAGTTGTACTTCTGTGTATTATCAATGGACAGGTGACCACCAAAAACAAAACAATAGCACTTATAACTGCACAAATAATTAAGCAGTTGTAAAATTAACAAGTAATGTGTAAGACTGTAAAGTTGTAAAACAGAGAACTGTGGCTCAGCTTAGTAAAATGCAATTCTCTGCAAATTAATATACAGATTTAGTATAATTCCTATCAAATTCCCAGAATAAGCCGGGCGGTGGTGGCGCACGCCTTTAATCCCAGCACTTGGGAGGCAGAGGCAGGCGGATCTCTGTGAGTTCGAGGCCAGCCTGGTCTACAGCGTGAGATCCAGGAAAGGCGCAAAGCTACACAGAGAAACCCTGTCTCGAAAAACCAAAAAAAAAAAAAAAAAAAAAAAAATTCCCAGAATAATTTTTGTAGTTACAGACATGGTTTTTTATGTATATGTAAAGGAAAAGGAACTAGAGTAAGTAAAACAATTTTGAAAAGGAATAAAACTTACCCTATTTTAGGGCATTATTTTCTGCAATAATCAAGACTGTGTGATACAGACCAAGATATGGACACATAAATCAATTGGACAGAATAGAAATTGTACAGATAAACTTCTGCAAATATACCAAGTGATTTTTGACAAAACTGCAAAAGTAATTCAACAGGGGAAAGATAGCCATTTCAATAAATGGTACTGAAGCAATCGGATACCCATAAGAAAAAGAAATGAACGGCCATCTAAACGTCATACTCTATACAAAAGTTAACTCTGTGGACTGGTGGAATTGCAAAAAGCTAGTAAAGTAGTAGATCATGAACTTGGAACAAAACTACCCAACTTTTAGGGAAGAAAATGAGAAGGCAGTCTTCAGAATCTGAGACATCAGTAACGTGCAGGAGGGCATGCATCAATGTAAATGTCCTTAAACCTAAAACTAAAAACATAATCCATACAGTAAGAAGATCAACAAATTAGACTGCATCAAAATTAAAACCACTTGCTAGGAAAAGATCCCATTAATAATGAAAAAAAAGAGATATGTAGACTGATAAAGTATTTGTAAACTATGTATCCCCCAAAGGATTAATATCTACAATATATTGTTTAAAAGTTTCAAAGCCACGCATTTAACTAATCCAGTTAGAAAATGGACAAAAGACATGAAGAGATGAATTCCTGGGGATTAGATGAACATAGCACATAATCACATGATATGTTATTTAATACCATTGGCCATTAGGAAAATGCACATTTCAACCATGGTGAGGAATCACTAAGAAACTATCAAAACAACCAAAAGACACTCTAGTGGCCATGGTATGTTCTAACAGGAGTGTAAAGGGGCTGGGTCTGCTGGAAAGAATACCAAATAATACCTTCCGAAGATGTGGTAGTTTGAAAGTAATTAACCCCCATAAGCTCATAGAGTGTGGCACTTTTGGGAGGTGTGGCCTTGTTGGAGGAAGTGTGGCCTTGTTGGAGGAAGTGTGTTACTGTGGAAGTGGGCTTTGAGGTCTCATATATGCTCAAGCCACACCCAGTGAGACAGTTCACTTCCTGTTGCCTGCTGATCAAGATGTAGGACTCTCAGCTCCAGCACCATGTCTGCCTACATGCCACCATGTCCAACCATGATGATAATGGACTCAATTTCTAAAACTGTAAGCCACCCTATTAAATGGTTTTCATTTATAAGAGTTGCAGTGGTCATGGTATCTCTTGACAGCAATAGAAGCCCTAACTGAAACAGAAGAGAATAATCATTTTAAAAATTGATGTAGGGGCTGGAGAGATGGCTCAGTGGCTAAGAGCACTGGCTGTTCTTCCAGAGGACCTGGGTTTAATTCCCAGCACCCACATGGCAGCTAATAACTGCCTGTAACTCTATCT